CTGGGTATTTTCCCAGAAGATCTAAAACATCATGTCACAGCGATATATGTGCACCTATGTTCACAGCAGCACAATTTGTAATTGCTAAAATGTGGAAGCAACTCAAATGTCCATCCACTGAGGATTGGATAAAAAAATTGTAGTACTTTTATATAATGGAATGTTATTCAGCTATAAAGAAAGATAAATTCGAGGCTTTCACAGGTAAATGGTCACAACTAGAGACTATACTCATAAGTGAAATAAATCAGACCTGCATGTGCAAGCACTGCATTGTCTCACTAGTATAAAACCTGATAGAGTGAATGAAAACTAGTAGGTATGATAGACATTGTGAAATGAAAGGAAAATGCTCAAGGGTAAAGGGCAACTGGGATGTGGGAAAAGAGAAGGGAAAGAAGGAGAAATTTTGTATGTATGCATATACAGGATAGTTAACATAGTTGAACAACTGTCTTCTATTTCTTTGCTGAAAGGAACAGTTACTGATTTCTAGATTGATCAATACTGCACATCTCTATTTGTTTTCCTGAGAAATGCATAATACAACAAGCATTGTTAAATTTCCTACCACTTTCTTTGTAACTCCGTATTGTTTGTATTGTTCTTAAAAAAATAAATAAATAAAAAGTGGGGAGAGTCTGGGGCAGGCCTCAGCTTTCTGGTGGGTCTAAACTATTTACTACTCACGCGTGGTCTGCTAAGGCCCTCAGTTCCAACTGCACCACAAAGAAGGCTCAGTCTGACCTTTACGTTTTCCAAGAAGAACTTTAGGTTCCCTGTAGCTTTGTGATGAGCCAGATCTCTTACCCAGGTGGTTCACTCCTATGTGCATCTCAAAGCCATCTGCTGTCTTGGAATAGGGACACATCATCACTCCTGCATTGTTGATCAAAATGTGCAGGTGCTTTTCCTCTGCAGGGAAGAGAAGATGGAGCAGGCGTGTGGTCAGCCACAGCTGTTACATCTTAGAAATCTGCTTTATGACCCGACCTTAAATGTGGGGATGCAGAACTTTAATCTTTTCTCTGTTTCCTCTTCATAGTTATTTTGTTTTTGTTTTTTCTGAGACAAGGTCTCATTATACAGTTCAAGCTGGCCTTGAACTCACTATGTGGCCCAAACTGGCCTCACACTTGCTGTGATCTTCCTGCCTCAGCCTCCCTACTGCTGGGGTTACAGGTGTGTGCCACCATGCCCAACTGGTATTATTTTTTACAGTGAGACTTTGTTGACTCCTATATACTTTTACAACAGGGAAAAATTGCATTTATATCAATGAATGCCTTTCCCAATATTTCCAGTTCAGGAGCTACTTATTGCTTTTGGGAATTATTCCATCCATCTCTCCTAATAGATTTCTGAAGCCGACTGGAAAGATTCCAAAGCAAGAGGGAAAAAGATTCAGAGATTCTATATGAACCTCTGCCTCCGGGCTTCAGGTCCCAAAAGAAATCTGTTAAGTATAACGGTGTATTTCCTTATGTGGTTTATAATTTATGGCCGTAGATTCATAGACGGGGAAGTTGTTTCCCTGACAGGCTAAGACCCACGGGTGATGAGGAGGTGCGCCTGATGAAATACTGTAAGAGGTTCTATGTTAATGCCTCAGCTCAAGATTCCTGCACCTGAAAATAAATAAACAGAGTAATAAGAAGACCCTATACCATTTGGTAGTATGGCTTCAGACCCCACAGATTCCAGCCTGGGTTTCTCATTTATTACAGATGACTCATTATTTGTCCACGACCCAGAGATGGTAAACTCCTTTGTTATGTTTCTGAGCTGTTATACTCTGGTTTTTTTTGCTCCTGTATTACAGACCAGAGGGCCCTTAGTGAATCTCAACCTTACATATACAGTGCCAGCTCTCAAGGGCCCAAGGTCTCATCCCTGTCGCTGTATGGGCGTTTAGACTCCAGACCAGTGACTGGAACCTTTTAGAGCTTTCAGTAACAAACAGCCGGCTGTGGCATGGGTGCCATAGGTTCGCCACCACTGCTCTGGAGCCTCAAAAGCCCGTAGTGAGCTCTGATGCTCCCGTGAGATTATCAGCTTCGGCTCCTGCTCACTGCCATGGCTTTTTGGGTCCCCTTTTCGTTTCTGCCTCCTGAGGATGTCTCTTTGGCATTAATCACATCCCAGTGATGACAATGACTTCAGCTCTATATCAAAAGTTTCTTGCTATATTTTATCTATTATTTCTGTGTTTTAGAGAGAGATCATTTCTTTTCTTTTTTTTTTTTTTTTTTTGTCCAGGAATCGAACTCAGGGCCTCATGCTTGCCAGGCAGGTGCTGTACTGCTGAGCTGTATCCCTGGCCCATCATTTCCTTTCATCCAAGTCCGCCAACTTGGTCATAAACCCACAATATAGTCTCTAGCGCTATACTTACCTGCTAAGAAGTCCTCAGCAAAGGCTCGAATACACTTAGTGTCAGCCAGGTCCAGTTTTCGCACCAGCACTTGCCGGTTCCCTGTCACGGCTTGGATCTCTCTGGCTACTAATTCCGCCTTTTGCACATCCCGGCAAGCTAAATATACGCGGGCTCCTGTCATCCAACATACAAAAGAGAAACCGTCAGTGCCTTTTTTCTTTTCTTTCTTTTGTGCTACTGGGGATAGAACTCCAGGCTTTTGCACTGAGCTACATCCCCAGTCCTTTATTTTTTGAGACAGGGTCTCAGAGTTGTTAAGTAGCCCAAGCTGGACTCAAACTGACACTCCTCCTGCATCAGTCTCCAAGCGTGCTTAGATTACACATATGTGCCAGCACTCCTGGCTGTCAGCTCCATTTCTAAGTGGGCATTATAGACCTAAAACTGATGTCAAACATTATTTTCCCTCTCTTTTTTTTTGTGCTAGGGACTGAACTCAGGACCTTGTGCATGTTAGGCAAGTGCCCTACCACTAAAGCCTGGATTTTTACATTTTTACATATACAACCTAGTGATCTAATGGTTGATACACTGTGTCAGCTTGAGAAGTCTAGACATTTAATTAACTGACTCAGCAGGGGGCCAGGGTCCTGACTTTGTAAATATCTTGAGCCTGTGAAAGGAGAGGGCAGGGAGATGGTGTGAGTGCTGTGCCCGCCCAGGGGCAGGTAGCTTGCTTACAATGTGGTGGGGGAGGAAAGGAGGCTTGCTCCCCCTTCCCTCTTTTTTGGCTCTTGCTGCTTTTGCTGTCCTCTGTGGCCTTGAACTGTTGTCCCCTCCCATGACACCCTGCCGGCTGACTATGGACTGAAACCTCCACAAACTGAGCTAAATAAACCTTCCCTTCTTTAATTTTGGGTGCTGGGTATTCTGTCCCAGCAACAAGAACAAGTGAGCTCAGGGCCCTGTGTACGTTAGGCAAGTACCCTACCACTAAGCCTAGAACCTGTGTTTTTGTGTTTTTCTTTTTTTAAACAGGAATATTTACATATACTTTATAACAGAATCACCTGAAGCAAATCAGGAAAGAAAACCAGATCAACAAGATGTAAGTGCCCATTACATGTACTAGGTTCAGACTAACAAATCTGTGAGTTACTTGGAGAATTCTTAAATTCTAAGTTAAGAATAAACAATGATGGGCTGGGGATTTAGCTCAGCGGCAAAAGTGCCTGCCTGGCAAGTGCAAGGTTGTGAGTTCGGTTCCCGGTACCGGAGAAAAACCAAAAAAAAAAAAAGAATAAACAATGAGAACAACCCTCAGTGTGAGGAGTAAAACAACAGCAGTGGGAAGGAACTGGGAGCAGATGAACTTGCCTCTCCGAGCCAGCTCTTTGGCCGTCTCCTTTCCAATGCCTGTGTTAGCTCCAGTGACAATAGCGACCTTCCCAGGAAGCTGGACAGTAGATGTGCACACCCCAAAGGCCACCATTTTCCTACGGGCAGAGGAGAGGAGAATGCATCAGTTCTTTGTTATCCCATCTCGGCATAGGGTTCTGGGAACACCCGATGTCTTCAGAGCCCAAGGCTGAGGTTTGCTTTGGTTTCTTCATGATTCCCATTTTTTTCCCCACCGCAAAGACAGGGTCTCACAGTGTAGCAGAAGCCGGGCGTAGTGGCGCACGCCTGTAATCCCAGCACTCAGGAGGCTGCGGCAGGAAGATTGTTGTGAGTTTGAGACCAGCCTGGGTTACAAAGTGAGCTCAAATTCAGCCTGAACTGCATAGCGTGACCCTGTCGCAAAACCAAACCAAACCAAACCAAACACCACAATGTAGCCTACACTGGCCTGGAGCTCACTATGAGGTCCAGGCTGGCCTCAAACTCATGATCCTCCTTAGGTGTGTGGCATCACACCAAGATTCACTGATGTCCTTTTATAAATTTAAGGAACGGCCAGATGTGGTGGCTCATGCCTGTGATCCCAGCACTCAGCAAGCTGAGGCAAGAGGACTGCTGTGAGTTCAAAGCCAACCCGGGCTACCTAATGAGTTCAAGCCTGGCCTGAACTGCACAGTGAGACCCTCAAAAAAACACCACACTCTAACATAAATTTAAGGAACGGTGGAGAAAAGAGGGCTAAAGTTTTCTGCTCTTGCTCAGAACAAAGGTGATTCTATTCCAAGGGCCAAGCTTAGAACTGCTCCCTGCAGCAGCACAGCTGGAGGAGCGTTTGATCAGCCAGGCACCTGATCTCAGTTTGAGCTCCCTACGAAGCAATTTTGGAAATCACAAGACTCAACCAAGAAAAGGAAAACAACTAGTCTCCAGATGCCAACCTGTCCACAATTGGCATTCTGTAGTCTAGAAAAATGGGTTAATCCAATTCAAAGTGTTCTAAAAGCGCGTCTCTTCAGTCACTGGCTCGCCACCTCCACGGGTGACTTTCTCAGAACCAATCAGCAGCCTGCCCGCCCGCCAGCGCCCTCTGCTGAATGCTCTCGAGCCCATTTCCCCATTCTCCCTGTGCCCGCTTCCTCGCTCTCTAACTGCCCCGGGGAAGAGCAGCAAAAGAAAGCGTGCAGCCAACTACAGATGTCACTATTCCCCGCAGCTTCCCAGAGAAAAAGCGGAATCGCTCCTTTTACCTCAAAGCCCCGAAACAAAACGCTAGACAGGGCTGGTTCAGGCGTGAGAGGAAAGGGGGACAGGGATTGGGGGGTGGGGATCCCACGCGCGGTTCTGACCGACGCCAAGCTGCAGCGCCCGGGCTTCCCCGGAGCTGGGGGCAGGTGCTGCTGGACCGGAAAGGGGGCCGGGAGGAGCAGAGCAGGATACGCGACCGCAGCCCCTGCCCGACCCCCGAGACACCCGGACCTCACTTGCAAGCCGCTGACCTCGGAGTCTCGGCCATCTTGGGGACCCCCGGGGGAATTTTCTTTTGCAAAACAAAGCTTCCGTGAGGACTCGTGTCCCCCCGAAAAGACTACGCGGTAGAAGGGCAATACATTTTCACAGACCTGATTTGGGGCGCAGCCACGTACAGGAGGAAGAGGAAGAAAAGGAAGAAGATCAGAAGTCCAAGCATCTCTGCGAGCCGCAGCGTAGAGGAGACGACAGACGCCGCAGCCTCAACAGCTTCCCTGCAGCCACCCGCTCGGCTTCCACGGCAATGTCTGGGCGCAAAGCCCTCTGGGAAACATAGTCCCGGGCTTGGGGCGAGCGGCGGGGGAAAGGGGCGGGGCGAGGGGCGGGGCCACAGGGTGGGCGCTGCCCGGAGGTCAGGACCGCGCAGTAGGTGCACCGCGAATCTCTAACCCTGTAGGGCGGGGTTCTGTGGGATCATCCAAAAAGCCCTCCCGCAGCCGTCTGGCTGCCAGCGGTGCTCGTGACATCTCCCCAGTGCTCCACGAGCACCCCAGGGTCAAGTCCTGCCTGTGGTTCAGTTTCTCTCTAACCTAACAGAACATTGTTCCAGCTAGAGATCAAGTGTGGCATCTGGAAAGACTCTTAGGCTGATTGCCCAGGAGAGGAGCCTTTGGACTCTGACGGAGGGTGGGGTGGCGTGAGTGCGAACCCCTGCTCCTCGGGAATTCCTCCTTCAGTGGAGCGGAAGCACCCACTGGTCCTTGAAGACATTACCCGGAGAATCACTTTCTTGTGTCTAGTTTGACATATGACGGTAGCTGTCATAATGTTCCTAGTGTTTGCTTGTGTGTTTATTGATAATAATCTATAGTTTTCTTGATGACTTATGTCACCTGTATTAATTCTCAGTGTATCAATTTCCCAGATTGGCACAGTTGGATTTTGCCAGCTTCTAAGGATTTCATTCCCTCTTGAATTAAGACCACAGATATGTTTTTTGGAAACGGGCAAGCTTCCTGCTCAGTCGTTTTCATCTGAGCTCTACTCCCTGCCCAAACACAGTAATATTTTCTGGTTCTTTTGCATAACTCATTTCCATTTGATTGAAAAACCCATGGTCCAAGGTCAAGTTGTAACAACTGGGGAGGTTCCCTGGACACAGTTCAAACTCCCACTGATTTCACATTGAATTATCCAGGAATCCTCAGACATTTGTAACGTTCTCACAAGGATGTCCCTTATTGTGCCTCTCACAAGTTTATTAAAACCTCTACACTTTGTTCTTTTCATTCATTCACTCATTCAACTGACATTTATAGCACTCCTACAGTGTCCTAGGCCCTTTGCTGTGGCCCACAGGGAGCCAGGTAGCTATGATCTCTGCCCTCTCAGAGCTTGTAGACTGTCAGGGAAAACTTTAAACAGGAAACCTCTGTGTACAACTCATGAGTGGTAGAGGGGGAAATTGAGAAAGCTTTGCGAGCTGACGGCAGGAGGCCTCTCCTGGTCTAAAGGGGCTTCTCTGGGAAAGTAACGTTTGAGCTGAGGCTCGAGGGGAGGTCAGGAGTTAATAGGCAAGCATCACACAGGGAAGAGTGCGCTAAGCAAAAGAAAGAGCTCTCCAGAAAGTCCCTCTGAAAGTAAAAGAACATACATATGGCCTAGTCAAGATGCTGGGTTCAGGATAGTAAGTACAGGTCTATGGCACAAGTGTTTGTCTTCCAACTTTTTATCTAAAAGACAAATTCAAGCTGATGTAGTGGCACGTGTCTGCACTCTGGGAGGCTGAGGCAGGTGAATCACATGTTTGTGCCCAGCCTGGGCAGTTTAAAGACTGAGCAAGACCTTATTTAAAAAAAAAAAATTGAAAAGGGCTGGGGATGTAGCTAAGTGTGAAGGCCCTGGGATCAGTCCCTAGTGTGAAAGAGAAAAAAAGAAAGGGAGAGGGAGGGAAAAAAAAGAGAGAGAAGTTCAGATGAATTGAACGAGGTGGATATGCCTGTAATCTCAGTTACTTGGAAGTCTGGGGTGAAGGAATTGTGAGTTCAAGTCCAGCCTGGGCTAGTTATTTATTTATTTATTTATTAAATTTAATTCAGTGTTAAGATCTATTTTTAGAATTTAATTGAAGCCTGGGCAATTTAGCCTGCCTGTCAATGGAGACTCTCTCTCAAAAAAAAAAAATTTTTTTTTTTCTTTTTGAGGCAGGGTCTCCCTATGCAGTTCAGGCTGGCCTTGAGCTCAGTTGAGCCCAAGCTGGTCTCAAACTTGCAATGATCCTCCTGCCTCAGCCTCCAGAGTGCTGGGATTACAGGTGTGTGCCACTCAAAAATAAGTTTAAAAACATAATTTCATAGATAGTAAAGTTGTCCTAGTAAGGCTATCTTCTTTCTACTGCTTAAGGAATTTATTTAGCACATACAAGTTTAGCAAGAGTTCTCTAGGACAGTTCTTTTAAACCATGGCTTCAATTATCTATAGCTGTGTAACAGTTTACCTATTGTTACATTTGGGTTAAATAGCATTGGTTGTACAATGGCTGTATTTGTCATCTCTTTCTTCACAGACACAGCTTAAAGGAGAAAATATTTATTGTAGCTCACAGTCTCAGTCCATGGTTGGCCGGCTCCAAGGCAGAAAGCAGCTTTGTCTGAGAGAAGTTGTTCACCTAACGACAGTCAGGAATCAAAGATCGGGGGAAAGCCAGACAGAGAGAAAGATAAAGGCGCCAGGGACAGAGTTATGTCCTTCAGAGGCCAACAGTGAAGCAGGGTTCCTTTTCCACAGCAGCCTCTCCAGCATTTATTATTACTATTTGATTTCTTAAGGACAGCCATTTTTTCTGCAGGAAGATGGAATATCTTGTTTTAATTTGTGTTTCTCAAGTGGCCGGTGATGTTGAATGTGTTTTCATGTTTTTTTTTTTGGCCATTTGTAGTTCTTCATCTGAGAAATGTCTGTTCATTTCATGTGCTTATTCACTGACTGGGTCTTTAAATCTGGAGGGGTCTGATTTTTTTTTTTTTTTTTTGAGTTCTTTCTATAGTCTAGATATTTGTTCTTTGTCAGAGGAACAGCTGGCAAGTGTTTCCCATGCTATAGGTTGTCTCTTTATTCTGTTGGTGGTTTCCTTTGCAGCTATGCAGAAGCTTTTTAATGTCATATGATTCCATCTATTAATTCTTCATATTATTTCTTTTGCAAGGAGAGTTCTGTTTGGGAAGTCTTTGCTTACGCCTACATCTTCAAGAGTTTTACCTATTTTATCTGCCAGCGGATTAAGTGTTTCTGTTTAAGTATTTAGATCTTTGATCTACTTTGATTTTAGTGTAGTGCATGGTGCAAGATATGGGTCTAGGTACAATCTTTGGCACAGGGAAAGCCAGTTTTCCCATACCATTTTTTTTTTTTTTTTTTTTTGGTTTTCTCCGGTACTGGGAACCGAACTCACGACCTTGTGCATGCCAGGCAGGCGCTTTTGCCGCTGAGCTAAATCCCCAGCCCCTTCCCATACCATTTGTTAAAGAGACTATCTTTACTGTGAAAATATTTGACCCCTTTGTCAAAGATAAGGTAAATACGTGGGCCTGGAGTTGTTTCTGTATCCTTTATCCTGTTTCATTAATCCACAAGTCTTTTTTTTTTTTTTTTTGCCAATGCATGCTGTTTTTATCACTGTATTTTGTAGTATAACTTGAAGTCTGGGATTGTGATGTCCCTGCCTTGCCCTTGTTGCTGAAAATTGCTTTTGCTATTCTAGATCTCTTCTGGTTCCATATGAATTTTAGGATAGGTTTCTCTAGTTCTGTGAGGAATGTTACTGATATTTTGATTGGGATTGCATTAAATCTGTATACCAGTTTTAAAAGTATGGCCATTTTGACTATATTGGTCCCACCTATACAGTATTACTACTACTACTATTATTATTATTATTATTATTATTATTATTTTGGCTTTATGAAACAGGGTCTCACTATGTAGTTCAGGCCATGAACTCACTACATAGCCCAGGCTGGCCTCAAACTTGCAGTGATCCTCCTATCTGAACCTCCTGAGTGCTGGGATTACAGGCATGCACCACCACGCCCAGCTGGTTCTACCTATACAGGGGATAGCTTTCCATGTTCGCATTTCCTCTTTGATCTCCTTTTTCAGAGTAGTGTAGCTTTTATTGTAGAGGTCTTTCACTTCCTTGGTTAGGTTAAGTTTTTTTTTTTTTTTTTTTTTTGTGCCAGGAATCAAACCCAGGACCTCGTCCTTGCCAGGCAGGCGCTGTGCCACTGAGCTATATCCCTGGCTTGAGGATAATTTTTAAGTTTTTTTTTTTTGGATGCTACTAATTTTGGGAGGAATCTCCATAGTGGTTTTCATAGTTGGTTGTAACAGTTTACACCCCACCAATGAGGAAGAAAGGTATTGTTTCTCTAATTTCTCTCTCGGTCAGTTTATTATTGGTATATAGGGATACTATTGAATTTTTAGTGTTGACTTTGTGTCCTGCTATGCTACTGAATTTAGCTGTTTCTTCTAGGAGTTTTTTGATAGAATTTTGGGGGTCTTCTAAGTAGAGGATCATGTCATCTGTAAATGATGATAATTTAACTTCTTCTTTCCCTATCCATATCCCGTTTATTTCTTCCTCTGGTCCAATTTCTCTAGCTGATGTTTTGAGAACAAGGCTAAACTGGAGTGATGATAATAAACATCCTTGTTTTGTTCTTGATTTTAGAGGGGAAGCTTTTAGCTTCTCTCCTTTTAATATGATGTTGACCATTGGTTTGTCATACATGGTTTTTATCAGATTGAGATAAAGACCTTCTATACCTATTGTATTTGGGCTTTTTTTAGTCAAGTACTTGTTCTGCATCTATTGAGATGACCATGCGATTTTTGTCCTTACTTCTATTTATGTGATATATTACGTTTATTGATTTATATATGCTGAACCATCTGTGCATCCTTGGAATGAATCCAAGGATATGTGATCCTTGTGATAATTTGGTCTTTTTGATAATTTGCTGCATTCTGTTAGCCAGTATTTTATTGAGAAATTCTGCATATATTCATTAAATAGATTGGCCTATACTTTTCTTTTGTGATTGGGTCATTTTCTGATTTTGGAATCAGGGTAATGCTTGCTTCTAGGAATGAATTTGGTAGTACTGCTTCCCTTTTTGATTTCATTAAGGAGTGTAAGGAGTATTGATGTTAGATCCTCTCTAAAATCTTATGGAATTTGGCAGTGAATTTGTTAGAACCTAGGCTTTTCTTAGTTGGTAGTTTTACTGCTTCTACGGTTTCATTGACTGATACTGAATTAT